AAAAAATCGCTAATGCGAACGACACCTTTCCCCCATCTCGTTCGGATTATCGAGGCCCTACTGTAAATAGTAAATACCATAATATAATACAAAACTCAATCTAAAAAAAAACTAACGAGGTTAGGATTTTYTGTCATAGACTGCGTAGTGATGCATTGCGACAAATTTAATCCAGTCCGAGAGAATTACTAGAAACTAATATTACTCAAGATTTTTAGACACATGACGTACTATTTTCCATTGCATTACAATATATTTTAATCAAGTTGTTTTAAYTATTATAATATTTAATACATTATTATATAATATATAATGTATTTGTATACTATTAATGCATATTGTGTTTTACGATAAGCGTTGAGTTAATAAATCGAGGTTGGGTGAAGAGGATTTCCATTGAAAGCATTTCAATGAGAGAAAGTTGGCTTAAAGCTTAATCAGTAGTGGGTCACTGCAACACCGTTTACATTTTAAGCACCTTAAAAGTAGTACACCGGGAATGTTGGGAGTTATTTAGTCTCGAATGGGTTGCGACGATTTTGTAGACGGGAGTGAAATCTTTTATTAAAAGTGTTGACCACATTTTGAATAAAAAGAAGGGGGGATAGAGAGATAACTATTGAGTGTGTGCCGTGTGGTTATATACATAGCAATTATATATTTCTAATGATTTATCGGATATTTCTGAAATGGATGTTTGGCTGAGCCATAGAGGTTGCATTTTATGACAAGAAAAAACATATTTTTATTACTAGTCTTATTAAGCCAAGCAAACTACTTCATCGAATAATATMATTCCAATATAACATTATGTAGTAAAAAAAATTTTAAATTCTTGACATTTTGACCAAATATTAAAAATTAAAMATTTCATAATACTTTTCCTAGATAACATTTTTTWAAATATTTTTACATTTTTGAAACCCCTATTTAAACAAAGACTTTTTGTATGATATAAAATATAATCCTTTGAATTTACAAAATTATTTATTTATGTGAATTGTACAATTATGTTACTGAAGCTATTGTATACATCGTAGGTTGGTGCTCATTTTTTAAATATTTAGATCTTTTAACCTTTATAATTTATAATTATTATTAATAATTATTATAATTTGATATACTCGTATGAATAATACTGCTGATAATGATGTACAACAAAATCATATTTTAAGCTACAATACTTTGGACGCTAATTTATTTTATTTAGTGTAAATCAATTACCGAATACAAAGGATTAGTATCAACAATATTATTACTATTAGGTATGTTATATACTATAGGTACGTATCATAGGGTTTATTGACGCAGAGATTAACGAAATAGCCTTCTAATGTACTGTTTATGATGAAATCGTTAATTTGCCTTTACTGTATCTATTAACCTAACCATTAGGGTCCTAATGGGTTGATGATAAAAAATTAGGAAAGCATCATGGAAATATCACTTTTTMACGAAATGCATAGGATAATTTATTCATAAAATATATTATAGAGGCAGGTAAATATGTTAATGACATTCATATTTTATTCAACCAATTTCAATACCTATATAGTACCACGATAAAATAAATAATTTTTTTATACTTTGTGAAAACACATTAGTATAGTATATACTATATACGTATATTTCATAATAACTTTAGAATGATAAATTCATAAATGTTTTCAAAGCTAAATCTTTTATAACTAAATAAATCTAAAAAAAAAATTATATATTTAAATATAGTGTGTTTATAGTATGATTTTTAAATGGTATACTTTTCTGACATATGTCAGGAAAATTTGTGTTCATGCACAAAATAAAGTTTTTCTAACTAGAAACTAAAAGTTTCTTCAGCATGAGCTAGACATTTTTAATGTACAATCGTTTTATTTTAAAYGGTTTAAACGCTTCAATATAGAAATCTATTTAATGACTACATTGTTCGCCCCTCTACACGAACATATTCAGTGGRGCCTAATATTTTCTCGAAGAATAAATAAAAATAATAATATGTTTTAAATTTTGATTACTTCGTAGTACCTATATAGTATACATGTTCACAATTCTATAAAAAAAGTCTTTTTTTCGATCTTAAATGGTTTGTTAATAGTTTCTATACTGGTTGATATCCATTTTTTAACTATCAAAAAAATAAAAAATAAACAAACAAATAATTCAGACACTTTTTAATACCGACAAATCGATCTTACTTTACTTCCAACACATCCCTCCGTAAATTATGTACGTACCCAAACCTTAAACTTTATAAAAAAACCATACTTGTCACCTAGGCTATTTAGCTCATTTTTATAATTACTATATTGTTTAATTTAATACTCATCTTATAACTATTTTGATATATTATTTTATTTTATTTCTTTCTTTGTAAAAGTCAATTGGCATTAATTTTTAAAATAAAAAAATAAAACTATCAATCACTTTATTATTTTATATATGACGTTATTAAGTATTTTTCGTATATTTMATGACAAAACAATTAAATTTATACAATTTATAAATAACGTTAAAATTAAAAATAAACATTTCGAAAAAAATGTATTTGGTAGGTAGGTACTTAAGAAGTATCAATTTTSRAATTAATCATTTTTTAGAATACAATAATTTAACACTGATTAGATTTCAAGTATTTAAAACCTCTAAATTTTGTATACAAATGTGAGTAGATCAATATAAATGATGAACAACCAAGCCATATATTATACTGATAAAAAACCAAAACATCTTACTTTTTCGATTTATATATTTCAAAGTATTTTTTTAACTATAATTCCATTRCATATTATTCAAAATATTATGGTACATTCTGCAATTAAAAATTGAGAAATTAATGCTACGGTGTTTGTAAGATCCATTGAAATAAGAAAGAAGAAAAGATTTCAGATTGAAACAAAAATTCAATAAATTCAACAAATACAAGTAATATGGAGAAAACAAAAAAAATTAATGTTTTAAGAATATTATAATCATTTTTTATTGAAAATATTTTAAACATCTGTTTTACGAACATCACAATGAATTGTATTATACACCCTAAAATTCAGTTGAAAAACAAATGAAGACACACGGCTATGGCACAAACCATTTATACGTTATTAATTATTCAACCGTTTGCATATTTTTTTTCACTTTTACTTCTACTTTTACAAAGATCTGAGTGTAATTAATTATTGGGCTGCATACTAATGCATTTCCACCCTTTATTGTGAAATCAAGAGGGATCAGAAGAAATATTTAGCGAAAGCAAAAAACCACAACATTATATTTACATAAAGTATTCGTTTAGTTTATTTAGATTTATAGTTTTTTCAACAATTTTATGTTAAAAATAATAGTACTCGTAAATGTAGCCGGGCTGTTTGAAGTAGATCATTTATACACTCACGTCTTGATAATTAAAGTAGAACAATTTTTTATTCCAATACCTCAAATTATTGTATCTACTATACAATTTCAATAACAATAACAATTTTATGATATCATCAACATTCATTTGAAATTTAAATCAAACACAATCATTGTCAAATGTATTATAAAATTCAGTAAATAGGTACAAGTTTACTAAAGTTTTTGTGTAAATTTACTTCTATTAATTGCAAATATTTACCTTTGATACACTTATGGAAAACTATACTCATATATAGCAAGAAACGGTAAACGGTAAACGCGACAAGACACCATAGCAAAGAAAACGCATTCCTTTGGGATAAAAGAAAATGGGAAACTTCAATGACTCAATAACGTAAAAGTTGTGATACATTTTTAATCAAACTAATTAAAAATAATAATAATAATAATAATAATAATAATAATATAATATTATTAAACTTACCTAAAACATTTCTAAACTTTAAAACACTTTAAAGGCTATAAAAAATAATGTATACGTAGGTAAGTTATAAATAGTTAAAATGCGTTTGTGTGTAGATGAACTAATTATGATTCATTACCAACGAATAATTTATAATAATTGAATGTTGGTGAGAAGTAAACAATAATATTAGTATTCTTGAAGATATAAATATTAACGTTTTCGTTGAATCAAAAATTATTGCCGTATTCTGTACCAGTTCACCGATTACTTATTACGAACAATCTGTACAAAAGCTTGTTGGTTTTTTGTTTTTCTTACCAAAAAATAAACTTAATAATATTTTTGGATAACCAGCGATGAAGTTTATTGCATATCTAKACATATATAATATGGCTTCAAATAAACAATGACATTTATTCATTTGAAATTTTAYATTACCAATGCAAAGTTGTAGTTATCGTGAATTAATTAAAAACTCACCACAAATAAATAATAATATTGAAAGTTTACGACATTCTCCAATATTCCATCTGTACTCTTATGCCCGGTTGCACAAACGACCAATAACTAGCTATCGGACCAATAACTGGGTTATCGAATCGATAACAATATGACAGGTTGCACAAAGGATCAATAAGTTTTATCAATCTAATAAATATTGTGTTATCGGTTCGATAAGTTGTAGACCCGATTTCGGCTCGACAAATATTCAAAAGAGTTCTATAACTTTATTGATCTGATAATATCGAATTATTTTGTGATAAGGTAATATTATTATTTATCATTTAATCAAATATTTTTGATACCAGTTCAACTTAATTTTAGGGTATAAAACAGATAACATTAAAAATATATGATGGATTGATAATTTTTTGTAACTATGGTATCTAAACTATGGTTAGAGCACTAACCATCAAAATGTTAAAGAATTTTCTGTGCAACAGTCCAACACTTTAAGGTACCAATAAAGTTATTTATCCGACTGTTTATTGAACCGTTATCACAGTTTATTGAACTGTTTTTATTGATCGTTTGTGCAACCGGGCATTAGTATTTATCTTAGACACCAATTATAGCTTATAATAATTTTAACTAGTAATATTGTCTTTTGTCCATTTTAGATTATTTATAAATTGACCCAAAAAGCTATATAATATAGATTTTATTGTAATACAATATAGGTATTTATAAGCAATTATCTTATATATCCTTTTATTTATAATTTAAATTTATTTTTTTAGTGTTTTTTTATTTTTTTTTTTGAACTTTAACATATTTAGTCACTTTTATAATTTATGAATGTAATACATTAAAGTCAATTTAAATATATGTCATAAAAAGTTTGCATTTATAAAAGTTTACAAGTAAATTTAAACTCACGACTTAATGATAAAAATTGTTCGAATCCTATTTTGTAATTTGATTATTCGAATCTTCTGTAGTTCTCTTATAATAATATGAACGTTGTCAAAGTTCAAAATATAGATTCACAACTTTCCATAAGCAACATATTTCATTTGTAACTTTTCTCTATACTGCAAATCTAAAGATTTTAGGAGCAAATGAAATGTCCATAAAATTCAAATACCCATATAGAATACTTGATAACTGTTAATCACAACTATTTATAAACCCAAACATCATGCATTATTAATTTTTGGGATAAAATAGTGTTGTCAAAACTTAAAAAATAGTACCTTACATAATTTACATAAAAATTACGGTAAAAATTTTTACCGAGTACCGATACAAAAATTATACACAGCTTATCCTAAATTATTTTATTTAGTTATTCAGCAATGATTAGCATATCAAATTGCTTCTAAATATAATATCAAAATCATCTTGTAAATATCACGAGTAGTCCCAAAATGGCGATCAAAATTCAGAGCATTATTATTTTATATTTCTTCTATCAGAACGTAAACATCTTAAATAAGAAATTAACTTACTGTAATATATAAAATTTGATCTTCCATTGTGACATGTTAAGTGTAAACCCTAACTATATAGTTAAGTAGTAAGTTTTTTAAGCAGGTACTAAATCTTGATATCATATTTTTTCCAAGTACAATTTTCACCGATTTTTTGAATTTGACATTTGCATGCCATCATGTTATTTCGACAAATTCAACTGTGATAGGTTCCAAACCCTAGTTATAAATGCCTTGACAATGCGATGTATCACAACAGTAAAGTTGAAGTGGGGTTTATCATGTAAACTCATCTATTGATATTATACATGTTTGATAAAACATAAAATTTAACGTATTTATAGTACAACTTGAATCACTGTTAATTGGTCATAACTTATGTATATATATAATGTACTTATAATATATCACTCAAAAAACCAAAATACTATTGAATAAACTGTGTAATAGTATTGTCCTTTCGATATCTTTAGATATCCATGTAAGTATACAATAATTACATGGACAATATTTTAACAATTATTTTTTGTTTATTTTAGATAACGAGCATACCATAAAAAGTCGAAAATCTCGAACAGCATTTACGAAATATCAATTGGGGTGGCTAGAGGAAGAGTTTGAAAAGTGCAAGTACTTGACTCGGTTAAGGCGATACGAAGTGGCTCTAATACTTGGTCTCACAGAACGACAAGTAATTATTATTAAATATTCTGCTGGCATACATGTATTTGTTTGTATTTCTCTTAAGAATCATTAATTATCTTTTCGTTTTTGGTTGGTCAAATATATCTTGTAAACTCGTTTATAGGTTTTAATTTAACGTCGAATATAGACTTAATCTGTTCAATTGATTTATTGTTGTTTATATGATTTCAATTTATTTAATTTATTATGTTTTATGCTCTCACAGTGACTATAAGCAATATTTATCCATTATATTAATATACGAATTACAAATTATATATAAGTAAATTATAATTTGTTATGTACTTGACCTAGATACAATATTTATACATCTATCTAAATATAAAGCACATACAAATAACATGCTACTAATTAAAATCATAACGACCTGAAAATCATATAATTAAAATTCTCTAATACTTTAAAATAAATTTAATAAAAATTAAAAATCCAAAATAAACTAATATAATTAAAAACAAATACTTAAAACACACTAAGTATAACATAATATCACTCAATTTACTGACACACAATAATACCTATTTCTCTGGTAAATAATACCTATATTTATCTTGTTTAATGCAATTTATAAATAATCTATTATAAATATGTCTTAGGTAAAAGTGTGGTTCCAAAATAGACGTATGAAGAAAAAAAGACTGAACGAGGAATCCATTTACGGATAACAGGATAACAAATAACAATTGTATTATTTGCATTTTAATCATCAAGAGAGAACATTGTGGAATTATTTTATGCCTAATATATTAYAATATGTACACTAGATTTTTTTTCACAGTTTAAACCTTAATTGGAATTAGATTAAACAAAATGGATTATTCCACCTGCCACAGAGATTAAAAGTATTAAAAATTTAAAAAAAAACCTTCTTCTTTGTTAACAACAATCACCAACAATCTTTTTTTTAAACTTTCATCAAATGACATATTCTAGACTTTTTAACCAGATTCTATTTTCCACGTAATCAAATTTCAAGAATTGCCGTTAGTTGGATYCCTAAAAAAAAAAAAAATAATCAAATAAAAATAATAAACTACCAATTAGATGAAAAATACGAGTCCATTTTTTTCCAATTATTTTTGAATCATAACATTTCTAACTTTTAAGAACAATAATTTTTTTTTTTTAAATATTTATATCTTATTCATTATTCATCGTAATCATATCGTTGATTGATCTGTTTTCTTAATGTATATCTTATAATTTATAATATTAAAMATTTTAATAAAAATAACAACATTTATCTTTTAATTAATGTTGTTTCAAATCAGATACCTACACGTAATACAACTTTGAAAAACAATTTTGTATTATTTCTTATCAGTTATTTCTATTTGAATCTTTACGATCAAAGTTTATAATTTAAATTAAAATGTCTTTCTAACTAAACACGTTTATAAGTCAGTATTGGAACCAAAAAACATAATATCGGTTATTACAAGTTCATTACAAAACCAATTTTAATATAATCATGTTAYCTAAATCACTTGTTGTATTCATAAAATTATTGTTACTAGGTTTAATTATCGTTTAACTATTAGATGAAATTGAAGAAATGTTTTTTTATTCGTGTTTGTATTCTATGCAATAGAACAGTATTAAAAATATAATGGTTTCTATGCAACGTTATATAATACCTAAGTTCTTTTTAATGGCAAATATTGTATTATCATTATAGTTTAATTACTTTTCTACCATATTAATGTTTCAAATCACACATTTTAGAGCATCTATTGTACAGCAGGTTTCACGTAGATAGGTTTCGGTGGACATGAATTAATAATAATTGATAAGGTAGTGTTAGACTAKGACAYTAGGTACACATTACACATAATACGTTCAATCGGCTATTTATAGTTCATGCAGCTAAGTCCTTATACTCCTACATAGTTAAAAAGTTAAGGTGCACAATGCAAAATGGGRCTTACTGCCAACTCGTGGCATCATTATTGCATAATTTACAGATAAACTATCCATTCATTACTAACTAAAAAACATAATTACACTTTARAACGTTTTTAAACTTTCAAGACAAGAATAAAAAATAAGTACAAGTTGGCCTATAAGCTTTATATAGTATGTATTTTTTATTTTTATTGGTCTTGAGCCCAGCARCTATAGCCATTATCTACTTTAGGACTTACGGTAGAGGTTATTTTGGTAGGTTGGCAACACGTGTATGTATGGCAAGGTTTTTGTCTCTTAGAACCCAGGTCACCCATCCAAGAGCTAGTAGCAGTGGGCAGTGTGTACTCTCAATCACGTTGAGTGACTGATTGCAGTAACCGTGCCACGTCAAGTCACATCGTTTATTTTATAAAACCATCTTAAATAAACAATTGAAAAATCAATAATATCATAAATTGATGAAACAGTGAAAACGAAATAGCACTGTTAAAATATTTATATTTAGTACCTACAAGAGATGTCAAGAAAAAAATCAAAGATCAATCCCGGTACATAAACAATAAAACATATTTTTTGTTGTTTCTTAAGTTTGATTTATATGTATAATTATATCAACAATATAATTCATTGTACCAAGTCACAATAAAACTATTATCATTTAATAAGATAAATCTCAACGATTTAAGATTTGGTAACATATGACGTGTTTTGTAGTCAAGTTTATGGGAATCCATAGCTATACAATACATATATTCATATATGTTCATTCATAAAGCGTATCATAGGTACATTACTGTATGTCAAATGTTTAAAACAATAACAATGTACAAGTAATATCATGCCGGAAAAGTGGAAGAAAATGCTACTATATTCCATGCTTACGAAGTGTACGTTTTGAAGCCCTTTTTTAGATTCTGAACGAAGTGATGAATGTATTGATTTTACAATGATGAGTTTTTTTTTTTTTTATGTGTACGGCATAACTAGTCGAAATAATGCTTATATTTCAAATTTTGGGGGTGGTTTCTGATGTAAAAGTGAATATCCTTGGTGCATTATAGAGGTCAAAAGTAAACATTTTCCAACAGTTTTCAAAAAAATCGATTTTTTTATATGGTTATAATTCAAAAACTAATCACTATAAATCTTGAAATTTTCATCAAATGTTTATGTTAGTAATATCTTTATACAGTTTAATTTTCAAAACATTTTTAATTTTTTTGAATTATTTATAGACCACTGAAATTTTCGATTTTTTTGAGAATTTTTTTTTTTGAAGTGTCGGTAAAAAGTATTGGATGAGCAAAACAATTTGAAAATGTAATACAAGGTTCCTTATAAGTTGTTCTTATTGTAGCTAAGAAAAATTAAAAATCGTTAGTCACAACTTTTTTTTATTAGCGTTTATAGTTCAAATTTTTACGAAATTTTTTTGGCCCTATCAAAATACTCGAAAATTTAATACAAAGTTCTTTATAAGCTATTCTTATAGTGATTAAAAAATTATAAGAATACATAGGCACAATTTTTTTTATTAGCAAAATATAAGCACAATTTTTTTTTTTAAGTATTCAAAATTTGAATTTTGACAAAATACGTACAAATCACAAAAATTCATAAATTATTTTATGCTAGAAAWTCATAAAAAATTTTCTTTTTAAATCTAAGATTTGAAAATTTTCAATAATCTGTAATATATCCTAGAAAGATAAACCGTCTCCGTTCAGAATTGTTTTTCGTATACAATGATACCTATCATTGCATTCAAATTTAACCTACCCTAATCAGAGGTCCACCCCACCCCTAATGTACAGCAGAGCAACATCTACTTACCCGCTTTTTTGTTTTCAGGATATACCTCAGGGACGTCATTTGGGGGGTGGTAGGGTGTGCGATTGCACCCCTTACTTTTAGAATGTTACAATTGGCCTGCGCCTTGCTAAAGCCTAAAATAATGCACGAGCCACGAATGCACAATTATTTATATGATTAAAATCAAATTGTTATAACCTGTCTATAATGTATGGAAATAATTGAATGCTGCAGGATAATATATATATACGTATGTATAATGTATATCTATTTGTATATGGCCTGGTGAAATTTCAAAATGGCCTGCTTGAAATTTCGCACACCCGAAAAAAAACCTAAAATGACGCCCCTGATATACCTACCAGAAATTTATAATTTATACTAAGTATAAAATATGCATTATTATGAGTGTGTATAATATAGTACACAGTTGATGTATAATGTCTTTACGGAATCCAATATTTTAAACACCTCTACATTTTATTTCAGGACAGAAAATAGACATTCAATTTAAAAAATTCCCATCGCATTTCTATATTTTTTATTAGTTTAAAACCTAAATATGTAGGACTCACATGGTTTTATATTTAGTAAGGCATCATTATATTGATCATACTGCATGAAACATTTTTTGTTTACTAATTAAACACAATGTGTTATATTGTATCATTATTGGTTCAAAACGTATGGMCGATTTAAACATTCATTATGATCGTATTAATAACTACAAATTATAATAATTATAGTAAAAACTAAAATTGTATTGAATAATTTATATATAAATATTTGATCAAATACATCACTACTAAAGTAATAATAATGTATTGATAATAAGACATTCCTGTAATAATAAGTACTGATAATACACAACCATTTTTTTCTAGAAGTTGTGAAAAAAAATGATGAACATCCTTTGAAAAGAAAATTAACTACCACGGTTAGATACCATGGAACAGAATTCTATACTCTTCTTTATTCAAAGGTTTGAGCCATCTAATTAAAGGTAGAAATTGGGATTATACAAGAATTTATACATAATTTGCAATTCTAGTGCAATGACTTCAAATGTCAATATGAAGATGAAATTTAAAGTCGTACAAAGTGTTATGAGTGTAACTTTTTAATCGCAATAAGGTTACAAATATAATTTTAAAATAAAAACTTTTTCATGTATTTAATCTAACAAGAAAGGTACAAATTTAATAAATATGAGTACTTAGATGGTATTTTCATATTTATATTTGATAAGCAAGTAATATTATAACTTACTTTTGTGAAGAACCCTGAGTAATGGTTGTTAGAAAAGTAAAATTGGAATGTTTCATGAATAATTCATAAAAATAGTTATAATAAATGACCACAATGCATTACAATTCGTGGCTTTAAGTTTAGCGGTGTGAAATTCTTGTAAAGCCTAATAGCTACAGAATGACAAAATATTCGTATTTTTATGATAATGGATAATTAACAATCACAGTCCGTGGTATAAATTATTTCATTGCTGCYTTCATCGATCCGTCGCTTATTAGCAGTTCGTAAATTATATATTTTATTTTAATTATCGTAATGTTTATAATGCTATAGTATTGTGTACACTGTTAATCGTGATTCACACAACGTTATAGAACAAAACTATCATTTTTAAAGGTGTAATTAGGTCACCGTTATTTACGTATATTATTTAATATATTATACATATACTACGCAATTTTAGAAATATTTAGATTAATTTTAAACTATTTATAACAAGAAATTTATAATAAAACCGTTACAGCGGTGCGACGGTATTGACTTATAAGTTATGTATACGAAATAGCATTGCAATGATTAAATATATTATATGCAAGTTGCATTTGACAAAAAGTAGTTCAAGGTAGCCGCAATAATTTTTCAAAAAATTAATACTTTTTTATTGATTTTTGTGTAATACGTGTAAATAATAATA